AATATTTAAAGAGTTTGTTAAAAATTTGTAAATAATTTTTTTAAATAAAATTGTTTTCTAAATTTGTTTATTTTTAGCTTATAAACTTTTTCTTATAATATAAAATTAAATACCATTATACTATAATATAGTTCTTATTTTAAATATTTTAAAAAAAATTTTTATTTAAATATTTTAAATTTTAAAAAAAATAAATTATAAGCAAATTTATAGACAAATTTGCCTAGAATTGCCTACAGTTTAAGGAATAATATTTTGTATTGGTTTTAGTAAATAACAAAATGACTTTTTGCTTCTCTTAAGCTAAACTATTAGTACTTAAAACTAATAGTGTTGTTGATATAATTTTAGGTTTAAAATAAATTTTAACATATAAATCCTTTATATATATTATTTATATTATTTGTATTATTTTGAAAAAATAGAATTTTTTTTAGATTAAAACTAGTAAAATAAAATTTTATTTGTTTTTTATAAAAAATATTAAAAACATTAACTTTTATTTGCATTTTGCACTAAACTAGTTTTTATTACTTTTAGCAAATCTATTTACCAAGTTTTGTAATTAAATATATAATTATATATATATATTTAAAGCAAATACCACTACTAGCACAAGTCCATTAAACCTCGATTTAGAGATTTTTCTTAAATACTAGAAGAATATGTAACCTGCCACCAACCGAGGAATTATTAAAATTGTAGCACTGTATTAATACATAAAATGGTCAGAAAAGCAGCTATAAACTGCTTAGCAGAATAAAAAAGCGGTGTAATTATATGTCATATATATATTACGGTATATTTATTAAATTATATTGTAAACATATTTGTTGAAAATCAAAGTTCTATAAAGTATATAATTTAGAAATAGCTATTCTATTTTTTAATTTAAAGAATGTGTATCGGTATGTATGTACGTACGCACATACGTACGTACGTATGTAAAAATAAATAAAAATTTAAAGGTTAGTTTAGTCCATACGAAGTTAACCATTTGTCTCTAACCGGGGTGGGACAGTTTTATAAAACCTCCAAAGCGAACTTTTTTTTTTTTTTTTTTTTTTTTTCAGATTCTATTATTTTTTTTTCAAAAAATATCGAACTCTAAAAATTATCGCTATTTTCTTGAAACAAATTTTTTTTTTAAATGCAGTAAATATTTGGTTTTATTTTTCTTTTGAATACTTTAAATATAAAAGTATTAAAAGACAAATAAAGTATTTACAATAAATTTTACGGCATTTTAAAAATCCTTAAATTTAACAAATAATAATTAATTTAATTAATTTGAAAATAGCGATAAAAAAAAAAAAACTCGGGGCGCGAGTCACTTTTTAAGATTCATAAAGATAGGATATGAAGAAAATTTACTTTGTATGGGCTTTAAGAAATATAGAAATTTAAATATTGCGCAGTATTTTGAAGACCATAATTTTTTTGGCAGCCTATTAAATAAAGTAAATGAAACTTATCGTAAAGGATACAATATAAATAAACAACAAAAACATTTAATAATATGAGAATACAAAGATTTAAAAGATGTATTGTTATTTGTAAACAATAATACAAAATTTGTTATCGTCGAATGATTTAGTTTGTTAGAATGAAAACTAAAATAAAACAAGCAGCTATCGTTATGGGGTAATTAAAATTAAATTCAGACGATTATTAGTTTTGCGATTGAACATTTATTGTGATGGACTAAAGTATTAAAACATTAGAAAATATTAGCAAATAAAATTTATATTTTCGTGTTACAACATATCAGCCATCCCAATAATGAACATCTCAAAGAGGTGGATCGACTCGACTTTACAACAGAATTTGGATTGATGAATGTTTGTATTGCAAAACCGGAAAAAGAAATGAGATGATTTATTTTGATTTATTCTCTCTTAATGGACTGGCGCTTCTTTTTTTCTTTTCTAAATTTGCTTCTATATAATAATCGATCTTGATTCGTCAATTTGAGATTAAGGCTACATTTTATCAATCATCATCCTTATCACTTATTAAAGTCGTTTATTGAAATATTTGGAATTTAATTTGAACTAACAGAGAGTTTGTTTAACAATCTTTAAACTATAATTCTTAATTACCACCATAATAGGCAAACGACAGTCATTATCAAGTTTCATGTGCAGCACCGTGTGGGCGTACAGCATATGTATAATAATTATATTGTCGATAGCTTGTACGACATACTCGTGGACGAAACAAGAAAACAAAAGTTTTATCTTTAGGGAAATTTTTATTCATTTGTTATTTACGATAATCGACAAGAAAAAAAAATAAGAAAAAGAAAAAAGGAAAAATTTTTTTTAGTTATTTTTTTTTTTTTTACGGAGACGACCATCAAAAATAATTTGAATAACTGATAAGGGAAGATGGAAAAAAAAAACAAATTCAAGAAGCACAAAAATTCAAGAAGCACAAATTCAAGAAACACAAATCCCCACACTTTAATTTTGTGACTGCACATCCGGGTACCAAGCAGTTTAAACCCCCTGCCGAGCCGTCAAATCATTAACAATGGTTGTACTCTGTTACCTTCATTGAAGGTTGGCACACAATTTTCATGAATCTCAGTATATATGCAACTCGATACAAGATCGATTTTTGTAACCAATCATTATTTGACAATGACGCAGAGAATGAATTAATTTAGTGAGAAAAAAATTTTATTATAATTAATACTCCATTTTTATTACGAGATAAAATCCCTGCATTCGTTTATGTTCACATTCTTCGCGGCATGCTTACCGCGCGTGACGATGATCACATGCCAATAAAAGGAACAGATACTGCGTATAACAGTATAGCAGTATAATGTGTAATGCGAAAGAATTTAAGAAGCATTTATTTTAATAAATGCCTCGTTGTCTCGATGTCTCGATGTCTCGTTGTCTCGTTGTCTCGTAAGGTTTGATCTTTTCTACCTTCTAAAACTTTTTAAAACTTTTTAAAACTTTTTAAAACTTTCTAAACTTTCTAAAATTAACAAAATTGTTTCACTGACTAAAATAAACCGGAATTCTCTATAAATAGTTTTTTTTTCTTGAAAAGAATTGAAACTCTCATTACTGACATCTATAACACAATCCTTGTAACCCTTGGGCTAAATTAAGTAAAATGTTAAATTCATAATTTGATTTCTTACACAATTTTTTTGTACAAACCTGCAACAGCACGATCCACTCGATATAGCCGGAGATCTTGTAGCCATCCCGGAACCACGTGTTCACAAAGTTGAACTACTTTTTGGCTTTTTGTACGTAGATAAGCACGCAAGTACGTACGTACGTATAAAGAAAGCATCGAGCATTTTTTTTTTTTTGGAAAGCAATCTTTGTGTGTTTCGAGATTTGAAACACTAACATAATTTATTTATTTTTTTTTAGTTTTTTTGTGAATTAATATTCAAATGTTTATTGTATACTATTTTGAAAGGACTAATTAATTATTTATGCGGTAATGTATAAAAAGACTAAATGGTTGCATTTAGCATTTAAAAGTGAATATCATGCACCTGGTGATCTTTAGTGTCATCTAGTATAATTTGATAATGCATATCATATTTTTTTAATTGTCACTTACCACAAAAGTGATGAATTTCGGCTGAATCTTGCTTAATGATAATCTAAAATTGGATTTTTTAAAAACAGCCCAATTTTCTAGACCCTAATTCAAAAATTTTCTCGCACTCATCTAAAAAGAAACCAATAAGTGACATTCTAAAGATTATATAGTTAAAAGATTATTCGATTTTCATAAGACTTGCGCCTGACTAAATTTGGTGCATAGGAATGAGCAGCACATTTAGTATCTAATATAGTGCGCATTTATTATGAATAAATAGAGGAAATTTATATATTAATGTTAATATAAATAGAATAATATTTATACTTTGTAAAGTGCATATTGCATCTATATGTTTTTTTTGTAATACTTTCCTCTTGTATAACGGCAGAAATTAAATGAATGTTTCGTTGAATAAGTTAAATAAACAACCACAAAAATCGTTTCACAAGTAATATGATGTTATAATTCCAACACTTTTTCATACATATAGTTTGCATGCATTTTGTACAGGCTCCAATATTTTACCGTTTTTAATTAAATCAAAAGAAGGTTTTCTTTTGTAGTGCAGTTGGTCACGCAGATATGCGTTCTACCATTCAAAGCATTAATCGTCGGTCCTATATTGTGCATCTATGCATACGTTCGGATGTCGGAGCTTGATTTGAAAAATTAAGGGATTTTTTTGCGTGACCAATCAAAAACCTTAACTGGTAACTTTCGAATTTATTAAAAAAAAAAAAGTATATATATATACATGTATAATTTATATATATTTATATATTTATTTATAATATATATAAATATAAATATATATAATATTTTATATTGTAAGTAGTATAAAAAATTTTAAATAAAAAAAATTTATTTAATTTTGATTGGTTTATTCCTTACCTTTACAAATAACAAATACAAATATATAGTGAGAGATTACGCTCGGATTTTTTTTATTTTTTGTCAAAACATCTCTCCAGAGTTCTTGAGCAAAAAAGGTCAACTGTGCGCCTACAAAGTAAGTATTGAACCTTTCACCACTTTTTTTTGCTCTCCCAAGGGATCCAAGTACAACTATCCTACTTCTTGTTAGAGTAATAATCCAAACGAGAAAAAAAAAAAAAAAAAAAAAAAATTTAATTAATTGTGTGCCGATTTTCTCGAGAATTTATATATGTATGCACCTTTTATCTCGTTTTAATTTTTACTTTCAAGTTTAAATTTTAAAATATCAAAGAAATTGATTTATAATTGAATTCGAATTTCTTTTTTTTCTTGGGAACTTTTTTTTTGTTCGACTTTCGACTCAAAAATAATATTTTGTGTATAACTAGCTCTGGGGATACCCTTCGCTCATCTCAAAATTACAAATATCTCAATAAGACATATAACGTTGTCCACAAAGCGTATTTTACGCAACTACTATGAATATTACTGAAGAAAAGTGGTCTATTCAACAGCAATCTCAGGTTCCACCCTCTCCTCACCATCCACCTCCCGTAATGTCGCCACAAATGAACAGTATGCCTACTGATAACTTTATGCAACCTTTTTCATATGACGGACAAACTGCACATCAACAAATGTAAGTTTTGAACACGTTTTAAAAATTTCATCTTTTTACCGCGCAAAATTTTTTAGACATATTGCTCGCGTTTCATTTTGTGCACTTGGTACAAACTGGTTTGGTTATGCAAGTTGATGTTTCTTCCCACCGCGTGTCACCTTACACATAGTTTCTTCCTTTACTTTCTTCTCAGCATTTGGCATTTGTCATGAATGAAATATCAAATATATTCTTCATACATTCTTCATACATTCTTCGTACATTATCATTTAACATCAATAAGAATTTTTTCTTTACCATTCTTTAAATAACTATTTATAAATTTCATTCACATTTTGAACCAATCATTAACCATTCAATATATTAATTTTATTTATTTATTATTATTATTCAATTAGCTTTGTATCAATGCCTCCACAAACAAATCCAGCAGCTCGACAAGCAAATTCTCCAAATAATAATACATCTAACCCTACTTCAGATCGTAAAGTCTTGGATAGTCGACCCGCTTTCACAACAACGTTTCACGCCACGCCTTTCCAAACTGGTGCAGCTAGGAAACGTAGGACTGATGTGTTAGGTTTCGCACAAGATGCTGGTCCATTTTTTTCACCAACTCAACAACATTATAACATTTATAGCATGGACAGGTCTTTAAAGTATGTATAATATGTTCATATGATATTTCAAATTAAAATCAATTGTCTACATAGATATAGATATATAAATATATGATATATATGATACATTTAGTATATAATATATGATACATTAGTATATAATATATGATACATTAGTATATAATATATGATACATTAGTATATAATATATGATATATTAGTAAATGATATAAATATACATACATACATATATATACACATATATATACATATATATCTTAACGTTACTTAAACATTAACATTACCATTAACATTAAATTAATTCTTTTTTTTAATAATATAAAATAGCTACAAACTTCGTATAAACTCAAAAGTAGATCGTGGTTTCTTTTTGGCTGATAACGACTGGACATGTTACCGACGGAACTACTTTCAAATAAGCAGTGCATTCTCCATTACAGGTGCAGCTCATAATATTAATGAAGCTGATATACCGTGCCTAATTGAAGTTGATGGACAATTTCATGCTGTCACTCAATTCTTACTGGGTATCACTGCTAGAGTTTCTAATAGTGACAAAAAAATCGAACTTGTACAACATACTCCAAAACGTGATAAAGGACCACAAATGGTTCCTGTTCCAAAACCAATTCGTGCTGGTGGAAATTTAAGTCTAAGCTCTGTTGGATCTAATTCAAACATCGTGACTTTTGAACGTATTCAATTCAAGACTGCAACCGCAAATAATGGTAAACGTCGTGCTGCACAACAATATTACGTTGTAATGGTCGATCTTTATGCTCAAATTGATAATGGTGAATACAGAGTTGCAACATCAACTTCTGCACCTTTGGTCGTACGTGGTCGTAGTCCTGGTCATTATGCTGATAATCATGATCGTTATAATCCAATGGGAATGAATCCAACTTTCCCTAATGATCGTCATATGGGATTCCCTCATCCTCAAGGTCCAAATGGTGCCCCTATGATGCCACCAGATTTCAATGGAGCTCCTTTTCCCGGACCATACAGCCAATACCAGCCCTTTTCAGGTTACCCCCCAGTGAATGGGGGGCCAATAAGAAATGATGCTTTATTGATGATGGGATCAAATGGTCAAGCTCCTCAGTTTCATCCTCAACATCCTCATCAACAATATATGGTACAAGGTGTTGCTGAAAATGATAACTCTAATCAAGAAATGTATAGTAATGCAAATATGGACCCAACTATTGTTAATAGTTCTCATGATCCAAAATTACATGAAATGCATATGGAAGGAGGTAAATAATAATAATATAATATAATTTATTTAATATTATTTTTTATTATATTTTTTTAATAATATTTTTTAATAATATTTTAATAATAATTTTATTAGTTACTGCAACATCTGGACCACACTCTGCATTTTCTAATTTCGAATCTCGTCAGATTCCGACGACAGTAGCTGGTTCAAATTCTTCACAAGGTAGCAAACCATTTATGAAGATCGAGATCCCTCAGTCTTCTGAAATTCCAGATCATCCACTAACTTCGCCCGCTTATCATTCACAAGAGTATGTTGAGGGATTCCAAATGTATCATAACAATGGTCATCCCGCAAACAATGCTTCAGCTCATCACGGCGGTTACCATTCAGATAGTGAACAACATAATATGAACGGACGACCAACAAGACCAGATGGTTCCTTGGATCACAATCACTCACCACAAATGAAGAGCGATAAATCCGAGCACAATTCAAAACAATTATCAGCGAATAAAACTATCACAACTCCGACAACCGAATTAGGAAAAAATCTTAGCCAATTAAACATGAATTATCGAATTAGTAAAATTGAAGATGATAAACTGTAAAGATAATAACGACATCTTGATTTAGAGTTAAATTTGAGAAGAAAATCTCAAAAAAATCTCGCCTCCCGATTTGTTTTATCTAGAAAATTGGAATTGGCTTTGTTAGGTGTATATATATTATATCCTTATATGTTGTATTTAATTTTTTGGGTTAAATGGGAAAACAGTATTTGCTTGTCTATACTGGTTTAGAGGTCAAAAAAGGATTTTGGGGCTGTATGTTACTACTTAGAAATAGAAAATCAAAAAAAAAAGAAAAAAATATTACTATTGATTCTAATTCGTATTTTTAGTTGTACACTTTTCCCTTTGTTTTTTTTTTTATTTTTTTTTATTTATCATGCATTATATTTTATTATTATTATTATTTATATATATATATATAATTTTACATATTATTAATTTTTTGGTTATCATCTTTACGTATAACCCTTTTTTTTTTATATTATTATTTATTACTTTTGAGTTTTTTTATTTTTTTTTTTTTCTATAAAAAAAAAAAAAAAAAAAATCCTTCTTTACTACTACTTATTTTCACTCGGTGTATTAAAATCATTTTGGAGCAAAATAATTTATTTATTTATGCAACTTTGTTTTCATACCACCCAAAATTTGAAACTTTATGTATTATCAGAAAAAAAAAATTAATTTAAGTCATTTTCGTAAAACATTCAAAATTTTTTGTGTATAGCTTTTTTTAATTAATTGTGTTGTGAGATTAACGATAAAAATATTATATTTTTTTTTTCAAATTTGCATATTTTAATATGTTTTACAGTTTAGGTGTTGCGAGATTTTTGGACAGCATGTGATGTGTCAATATTTTCGTACACACAAGTAATTCATAGTTGCGATATTACAAACTTTACATCCTTAATGAGTTAAAATAAAAATTCTTTTCAAATAAAAAAAAAAAATTTCAAACTAATAAACGAGCCTTACCAGATATATCTACATATGTCAGATCAACCATAAACGCTGAAATGATGAAACCTTTCAAACAACTTATTATTATTACATAATGAACAATAATGGACCGATCTTGCTTGTCCAAATTCAGCCGCCAACCGTATCTTTTTTCACCTTTTCTAAATTCACTCAATTAGTTGCTTTATTGGTTTTAATGCGTGTCCCCAAAATGATTAGATAAACGCCCGCGACTACTACCTTGATCTTTATTCTTACCATTACTGTTAATATAATGATTTTTATATACAGGATATACTTTCTAACGATTTATGTATGATTGTCATTGCATGTGGGGCCAATGTCTTGTACTATGAAATTCAGGAAGGGTGTGCATACGTTGGACAGATTAGCATAATGGAATTTAGGTATCTATTTTAGAAAAACGGTTAGAGAATTGTTAAACTTATGAACATTGTAAATCCATTGATCCCAGAAAATTTTTTTTTTTTCAAAAAATAAAAAAAAACAACGATAATTGAATTTTTATTGTAATACGTACTGTTTTTTACTGTGTTAATAATATATATATACTGTATATATATTATTAATATTCTATTGCATATGTACATGTACGTATGTATGTACGTACTTACGTACGTATTATTTTTAAATTAATTAACAGTTAAACAGTACGTACAATATATACGTATATCAGATATATACTATATATACGTATATAAGCTTATAAGTATTTTTTTTATTGTCTGTTAAAATATAAAAATATTTTAACTTTTTTAAAAATAGTTCAAAAGTATCATCACAATACAGCAATATGTTTTTGTTTTATTAGTTGACTTATTTTTAGTACGTATACTAACAACTAAGCGATATACGTAGCAATTTTATACGTATAAATATTTTAAAAATTTTTAAATTTATGATTATAAATTTTATAAACTAATTCTCTTTCCAGTTAATATGATTCACATACTCCTGAGCATCTTATATGAAATATAACCAAATTCTGGAATGTCCAGATATTTTTTTCGTTAAAAATATTTTGTTTTGTCCAATACCGATACTTTTAACATTCATAATTCAATTTGAGGAATTTGAGGGGTATTGGTTTGACCGATTAGCCGCCATTATAGCCATAATAATAACTTGGGCAAAAGATACTTTTATTTTTTTGATTATTAAAAAAAAATAAAAAAAATTGTAATCGCAACTATAATTGTTAAAAGTGAGGTTAGATCCTGGAAAAAATATTATGAAGGAATATCATTCATTCTTTTTACTTTTTTTGTTTTTTCTCCTCACTAATTAGTCATTATTCATTCGAATTAAATTGTATGACAAACAAAGAAACAATTCTTCTTTCATAAAATACTCCAATTAGATTTTATTCATCTTTCAAAAAAAAAAAATACAAAATGATTAAAAATTGTTCTTAACAGAAAAAAATGTTTCACGGAACGGACAATACTTTAAAGATCCGATTGAGTTTACCGCATAATCTGCAATGCCTTTGATCTACATCGATACCTTTATGCAAAGAATATGCCATATCCTTATTTTATTATAGCCCCCTTTAACGCCATAGGTTTTAAGGATTGCGGCAGCATATCGATTATACCTTCCCTTAATGATTAATAATTTTTATCGTAATTGGGTGATTTTTTTTGGATGCATTTTTGGCTAAACCTAAATTTCTTAATATCTACGTATATATGTACACTTACGTATGTAATGTACTGTACCAGTAGGAAGATAAAATCCTTTTTTTTTTTTTTTTTTACTGATAAGAAAAGGAACGCACTTACTGTACGTACTTACGTACATACTTTATGTGCTTACAATTCCTATATGTATCTTTTACATGAATTTAATTCTTTTCTGTTACCTCGTGGTTCAAACTTTTAGCTTTTATCTTCTTTGATCGACATGCCGTTCGTAATTTGCCGACGTATCTAATCAAAGGTGGTAATCTTTTTTTAAAAAATTTCAATTTTATATTGGATTTATTTTAAATGTGAGACTACTGTACCTCTTTTTAATACGTAAGTACGTTGTAGATAGTTTTAATTACTATTATTCAAATCCGATGCAACTAATTTTTTTTTTTAATACGTTTTTAGTTTTTTGTTTTAGAGACATTGTTGTTAGTAAAAAAAAAACTAAAAAAATTCAAATTATCGATACAGTGAGTTATACTGATATTTATATTAAAATTTTGAAAAAAATGTCGACATGGAAAGATTTTTACTATGATATACGTATTATATCCAGATATCGGTATAACCAGAGTGACGTGTATACAGAAATCTATATTTTATCAAAAATATTAAGAATGGAAAATTTTTTTATCGTCATAGCGATGCCCCCTGAAACTTAACTTTATTGTCGCGTAGAGTGCTGTCGGGGTTCAATACTCAAACCCCGCTTAAGATTAGTAATATATTACTAATCGTAAGCGGCGCTTGTATATGGAACACCGACATCGCACGACGTCTCAATTAAGTTTCGGTTTCGGAATTTTGGATTTTACTTTCAGAATTTTTGTTTTACATTACCTCCCCTCCTTCATAGTAAAAAAAATTTTCTACAGTAGTAAAAATAACTATAAAGCTGGTAACGACCAAGAATTTTCGAAGTAGACTGTGAACAAACCTAAAATACGAGCGTGGTTGAGCAGAAAAAGGTCCGGAAACAGACAGGAAATTTAGTTTAGGGCAAAAAAATTTTTCTATATATAATACGTTCAAACCCATCCCCCTCCCCCATAAAGTAGAAGGGGTAATGTAAAACAGAGAATTAAATTGGTCTGGCCTAAACCTGGATTAGCTTTAGCGATAAATTACAAAGCTCTTAAGAAATTTGCTATTACTTATATTTTCGTTGATGCAACCTTTGAATTTCAAATAGTATTTAGACTTTTTTAATTGTATCTTAAGACATTACAATTTAAATACAATTATTTTGACTAAAATTGTATATTAATTAATAAAGTTTTTTAGTATTTGTTTAAAATTTGATTTTATATATTTTTATTTTATACTTGCTACTAGATAAATACAAATAAAATATTTTAAATATATTAATAAATAATAAGTATTTATCTTTTTAAAATTTGTTTTGTTGTTTTTAATTTAATTTATATTAAAATTATTTGATAGTAATTATATTAATTTATAAAATTTTTAAAATTATTAAAATTATTGTTGAAATTATTGTTAAAATTAAAAAATTAAAAATAAATTTTACTCTCATTTATAAACATTTATGTAAATGAATGTAAGCAACCAAATATTGTTAATTTTTTTTGAGAAAGTTGCATAGCTTGATTTACTTATGTCTAAATAGCTTGATTAAGATCATAAGATAAGAATTTTTCTGCAGTTAAACAATAGTAAAAAAGAGTATATATAAATAGGGATATTAATAGTTAATCCAGTCCAATTCAATTTTATAAATCAAATTAAAACTGAACCAGATATAAAAAAAACTAGAATTAAATAAAATTAACTATAAAAAATATATTTTAGTAACTATAACCAGTAGTGATTATCATTGAGGTGCTTATATCTCAAAAATATACTAAGTAATCTGGATCAGATATTTTAAATAAAAATGTTTAAAACCTCTAAAACCTCACAAAAACTAAAATTAAAACTTTATATTAGCTCTATATTATATTATATAAAAAAAAAATAATCCTTAATACTTACTCAAAAAATATATAGAGGAGATAATGATTACCACTAGTAATTTAAACAAAAAATTAAACCAAACTAGAATTAATTATAAAAAATTAAATTAGACTAAAACTAATATAAAAATAACCAAATTGAATTAAAATTGGACTTGTTTAAACTTGTTTAATTTTTTATATACCCTTGCATATTTTATACACTCTTGTATTATTATGTATAAATATGTACAAATATGCATAGTTATGCAAAAAGTACATAAAATAAAAACTAAATAGGCTAGTTTTATTAGCAAACTTAATAGGGTATAATATTGCAAAATAATTTACAATGCATAAGAACATCATAATATTATATAATAACTTTTACAATATTGCAAAA